TAGCCAGTGGTGGGATTCTACCGGTTCAGACAAACCGCTAGCTCCAACTATCAGCTGGGAGCGAACCGGTTTGCTCCGACTTTCAGATGGGCCCACCTACCTGCCCCTGCACTATACTCACCTATATTCCCAGCTGATCGGCACAGCAGAGTGGATTGCTGCACCTCAGCTGTTCTCCTCCCCAGCAGTAATGCGGAAGGTGATTTCTCTGTAAACTGCGCACCCATTCTCCGCGAACCGGTTGTTAAACCGGTAGGATCCCATCCCTGCAGGTAGCCATTGACTTAGGCCCACAGTTGCGTCTGTTGCCAAGCAAGATAGAGTTTTGCCATATGTTGCAATCTTTCTTGCCACAGTTGTTAAGTGAATCACTATAGTTGTTGAGTTAGTATAAGTATAATTTTTATTGGTATTGTACAAAATAAATACAACGAAATTGGTTTTAGCCTCACTGGTGCAAAATTATAACAGAAACAAAAAAAGAAAGAAAAAGAAGAAAAAAAACTAGCGTGTGCATGGAGCGATTGTGGTTGTATTTAAAAGTCTGACAGGCCAAGGATAGAAACTATCTTTAAACCTCTTTGTTCGGCTGGCTATCCTTTGATGTCTTCTGCCCGATGGTAGAAGTGCGAAGAGACACTGACCAGGGTGTGAATCCTCTCTGACTATCTTCCTTACTCTGCTAAAGCAGTAAGATCTGGCGATAGTAACACAGTTGTTAAGCGAATCTGGTTTCCACATTGGCTTTGCTTGTCAGAAGGCTGCAAAAGACGATTTACATGATCCCGGGGATACTGCAACCGTCATAAATATGAACTGGTTGGCAAGCGTCCAATCACATGACCATGGGGACGATGCAATGGTCATGAATCATAAGCTTGCAGTCCGAGATAGGATCCATTGAATTAAATGAGGTATTCCAGTTATAATAAGTAGGGGGAACCAAACTCCAAGAAGGACCCGCTTTCATTTGCTAGGAGATATGGATCAGACTTCAGTTAGTCCTCAACTTATGGCCACAATTGGGACCGGAAAATTCATTGTTAAGCATAGTGGTTCTTAAGTGAGGCATCAATATCTGATTTTACAAACTTTTTTTTGCCATGGTCATTAAGGAAGTCATCACAATCACAATTTTTTGACTCTTGCAAGACATCACGTAATTGTGATTTGCGATCTTTCCTTCCAGCCCTCCCACTTAACTTTTGAGCCCAAAATTTCTGTTGCTAAGTGAGGCATGTTAAGTGAGTTTTGCCCCATTTTACTTCCTTTCTTGCCACAGTTGTTAAGTGAATCACTGAAGTTGTTAAGTAAGTCACACGGTTAAGTAAGTGATTCTGGCTTCTCCATTGACTGCAGAGAAGAGCAACTAGGATGATGAGGGGACTGGAGGCTAAAACATACGCTGAACGGTTGCAGGAACTGGGCATGGCTGGTCTAGTGAAGAGAAGGACATGGGGAGACATGACAGAAGTCTTCCAATATCTCAGGGGCTGCCACAGAGAGGAGGGGGTCAAGCTATTCTCCAAAGCACCCGAAGGCCAGACAAGGAACAATGAGTGGAAACTGAACAAGAAGAGATTCAACCTGAAAAATAAGGAGGGATTTTTCTGACTGTGAGAGCAATCAACCCATGGAACAGAAGTTGCCTTCGGAAGTTGTGGGGGCTTCATCCCTGGAAGCTTTCAAGAAGAGACTGGACTGCCCTCTGTTAGAAATGGTGTAGGATCTCC